GTAAAGCCATCAGCTTTCTCATGTCTCTCCAGTCCTCTCCGTTCTCCATATACTTTCCAGAGTATCCAAGGGACTTGATGGATCATAATTGTAAAGACAAACCTTAAAGGTTAAATTAAATGTTTTACCTGTATTTTCCTATATATTGCTTGCTATATAAAATGGAATACACATCCATGAATTTGTGATTCCGAATATATTTTGGATACAGCTCTCCACAGACCCATCTCAAAATTAATTGTCATCTTCTCAGGCTGTGGCATACCAGTCATGTGTCTGACACTCTGAAGAATGAAACATTCATCTGAAAGTAGTTAAAGAATGAATTTCTCAAAATGATACCTTAAATGCTTTTTTATAACTCTTTCTTTTCTTTGATGTCATAAAAATAAATGCCAATGGAATATGTTTCATTTCACCATCTTTCTGGACATAGCTGCATATAGATAAGAGCTGATAAAAAGGATCCTTTACCATTTTAAATGTCCCATCAATGAACCAGTGTTTTGACTGACCAAGCAAATTAAGTTGATGGCTGCTACCAAAAATAAGAATTCTCTCTTTATTTTCACAGATGGCATCTTTCAAAAAATCATCTGGGATGAAATCTGTATTTAAATAAAAGTGTACTTCTTTTGGTTCACTTGGCCTTAGTTTTTGCCTTGTAAAATTAGCCACTCTTTTCGAATAATCAACATTTGGCAGAGAATCTGTTTTCACAGGCAAAACTGTAAATTAATAGGCTGCTTTAAACAAAGTAAGTTTGTTTAACAGTTTACATTTATTTGTTTTCAGAAGTTCAACAATAGCTTATTCCATATTATCATATGGCTAATGGATTTTATTGTTATCTCTTCATTTCTGCAAAAGATTTCTGCGTTTGTGAAAAGATTATCATATTGCATCTTGACAGATATTTCAATGCAACAGAGGAGTCTTCCATTACAGAGAGTACATTTTTTGACTTTATCATTATGATATTATATCTGCATGTTGGGGTCGATAGAAAATGTCCACAAATGAGAAATTTCAAGACTAAATTTTGGATTAAGAAATGGTTAGGAAGAAGAAGAGAGCAACTGATTTGTACTTAGGAGGGTCTCCTCTAAGGGTTAGGGCTAATGGAAAAAGTTAGAAACAGCCGAGGGCTGGGTTAGGGTTAGGGTAAAAGCACCAATTTGTGGACGTTTTCTGTCGCATCCATGCATGGTAATTGATAAACTTTGCCTGTCACATTCTCAAATGCAAGAGATACAATGAAATTCATTCATTTTCACCATGATCATGTGACGTTATATATCTTTGAGTTGATGGTTATGCCATGGCATCTGTTTCCAATGTATTCTCAAAAATAGTACCTATTAGACGATTAGTTGATCTTTCTGGAATTAGAGAAGATACTATAGATGACTTTGTTTTTTCAAATGGAACTGTTGAAGTGGTTTTATTTGATTCTGAAATGGAGTTAATATATAAATATTCAACAAGAAAACTGTTTCATATTTAGTGTACCATTTTATTCAGGATGCTCATCAACAGTTGTATTCAATTGTAGATTTATATTTCCTTTAGCTCTGAATGAAAGTGTCACATTATTATGAAGTGAAAGATGATAAAAATTATATTTGTAATAGTATTTTCTATTAAAAAATCCAGATGAATTGTGTCAACCATGTGAATTCATTATGAAAGAATAGAGGTTACCTTTCACACAGACAACAATGCAGTATTCAGACAGATACAAAATACAGATGCCAAACCAAATGCCTTCACAAGGAATAGGATAAGGTATATTATAGACAACTCAAATCCTTCTTCTTAGGCCATACTCTTATGACTGGGAAAAGTTTGTCAGAATAGCTCAAATTGTATAAAGTGGGCACACTCAAATATCCTTTCCAAGGGGTTCATTTATAATTTCGCTCTATTTGGATCAATACTTACCTACAACCCTACTTCAGGAAAGCACATACTTGATGCAGTTGCAGGATCCTCATCTTCTTACTATGTCTAGTGCAGGAAATGACCCCTCTACCAATAAAACAATTAAAGATGACAAGGAAATTAGTGAGTTAATGCTAAAAATGGAAGAATATACAGAGAGAGAACAAAGAATTTTGGTGCTACTATTGATAGTGAAGCTTTGGTTATGAAACACGACCAGTATGTTTTATTAAAATCTCCTGAAAACTCCACTAAGTATGGAAATTCAAGTCATGAAATGCAAGTTGGTAGTTCAAGTGTACGAATGCCTCAAGACAGAATTAGGGGACAGAGAACAGCAGAAGCAGAACCAATGCAATTTGATACTACATTACTGACACCCTATCCAGATGGAGAAATAAGTCTACATTCAGTTTGCCAAATTCTATGATTAGCTTATCATTTAATTTCAAGTAAAAAGTACATTTTCTAAATTTTTAGCCCTAACCATACAGTCCATAAAGTCTTTTCTCCTGTCTAGTCCTTAAGCTTTTGTTAAGCCTTAATTTTGGTAAGAATAAATGAAATTGAGGAGGGCTTCTTTCTTCAAAAAGACAACATCTTCTGTTGATGGATTGTTCAAATAATAGCTCACATAGATGTATAGTTCTATTGCTAGTATTGAAGAGAGAATGGTGTATGTTGACATTAGAAGAAGAATAATTGATGAATTAGACCTTTCTTATCTTTCTTATATTGCTGCAGGCTCGCATTTTTAAAAAGAAAACAATAATCTACTGAAACTGGAAGAGGGAAAACATTTCAATGTTTAATGATTTTAAATCATTGGTCCCCTGTAATTCTTCCCTTAGAAGGCTAAATACTTGATAGAATTCTTTAAAACTACAAAGGACAACAGAGCAAAGCAAGATATTTTAGAAAGCACTCTAATTTTAAGAAATGTTTTCTTTGATGATTTCTTCTTTATCATGACATTTACGAATGAGCTTGAAAAGTTGAAAATTCTCTTTGGTACCAAAATTTGATAAGTATATTTCATATATGGATATATTTGTCTTTTATGGTTTTTAGAAGGAATTGGAAGAAGTCTATTTGGAGTCTTTTTATACTAATTTAAATTATTTTACTAATGACATTAATTATTTATTAAATGAAAAAATTTGTCATATCAGCAAAATTATAATCTAAATGAAGTGTATCCGTTTTTGAAGGACTTTCTTTAAAAATGTACCAAAACTGATCATATCTTTCTTTAATTCCTCTTCCTTTGCGGAAACCAGATGTTTAGTTGTTAAATTATAAAATTTACCATTTCTATTTACCTACAAAGATATAATATGGAGAAAAGTCATTCTAAAATGAATAAATAAAACAATATACAAACAATTAGGTAAATATTTGAAAAATCAATAAAACCATTGTAAGAGAGATTGTTTTTATGAGCAACTTTTAAAAGTTTGCAAATATCTCTTCCAATTTCATAAATATTTTCCATTTTGTAAAATTTTTGATTATTCCTAAGTCTTTCTAAAAAGATTAGTGAATTTTTATCCACTAAGCAATTATTCAATAATTGAATATATGATAAATCTGGAAAAGAGAAAACAGTATTGAAATTTCCTAACTAGTTTTATTTTTATGTTATTCTAATAAAAACAATTTGAAAGATTTAACGCTACGACGTCATTAATTTGATTCAATCTGTAAAAGTTAAGATTAATTATCATTTAATAAAATCTATATTTAATTACATCTTCTTTTCTCCCTTCTGTCTCAATGATGAGTAATAGAGCTTTATATCTCTTAGAGTATATAATAGTGGATTTATAACAGAGTTTAAAGGTAATATAACAATCACTATGGCAACATAGATATCTTTCTTAATAATTAAATTAAAGAATGTAGTGTATACTCCTGTTCCATTTCATGTAATAGAAGAGAATTGAGTTAATTGAGGTGAAATAACTTTACATAAGATGTTTAAAAAAGGGGTATACCTAAAACTGAAACCGGAAACCAGCAACATAAATTTGTTGTTACTATTAAAAATATATTTAATTTGAACTTTTTCTGCTGATTTTTATAAAATTCTTTGTTATTGATTAGTTGTTTTGCCTTGAGCGTCTCTCTCCAAATTCTTAAATATAAACCAAAAATGACTAAGCACGTAACGGACATTAATATCCCAAAAACTAGAAAAGAATACAGCCATCCTTCTACCTTTTCACTAGAGATGTGCAAGGTAAAACAAACTGGACTTTTGGAATAGAACGTCTAATATATTGGACATAAAATATCATAACTTATTTATCTTCCAGTATTTCTAGCCCTTACATTATATGCAAATAATGGAATTGCCGATATCAGTCCTGCAATTATAAACATAATAGCAATGAATATAAATATTATTGGTCTTGCAAATATTCTCTTGAATGGATGAACGATAATTGCATATCTTTCTACTGTTATTAGAAAAAGACTCTGAGATGATAGTAATATTGACCAACTGCAAAACCATCCAATTGCTTTACAGAAGACGCTATTTCTCCAATTGTAATCATTTTCTATATATTCACCTCTGTAGAATGCGTCAACACTTCCAACAATAAGCAAGTATATTGATGTACAAAAATCAGCAAGGGACAAGGTCAAATGAAACCAATTTTTCTGCTTTTTCGAAATTAATCCTCTAAAACAAATTGATATAAAATTTTCAATGATAGCGCAAATTGATAGAATCCAAAGAACTGAACGAAGCGATTTCGATTCGAGGAGATCGCTACAAGAATTGAATAAAGATTGCGTTGGATAACACTTTTTAATATGTTTTGTATATTGCCAGGAAAAACAGCAAAATGAAAAATATTCACTATGCAATACTCGAAGAGATTTCAATGGTTTTATCAACGCACTTTTATATTTCATTGGTATTTTCGTATTTTTTAATAATAAACGTTGAAGAGACGTTAAAGAATTGAATATATTTCTATGAAAATCATTTATAATACAATTTTCAATTGTTAAATTTTCAAGTTTTCTTAAATTTAACAAAAATTTTTCATTTAAATAATTCAAATTTATTGAATAAAAATTAATGGATAATAAATTTCTAGCATTTTTTAATGATGTAAAATTATCCATTTTTATAATTGAATTTCTAATATATAATTGTTGTAAATTGTTTAATGGATTTAAAAGTATTCTAGATATGTTCAATGATTTACAATCTTTAAAAGACAGATAAATAACATTTGGAAAATTAATTGATATTTGAAAATTGAAAATTGAAGAATTTTGAAATGACAACACAGTTGCAAAAGTATTTTCAATTGATGGAAATTTTACATTATTGGCTTTGTCTGAAATTTCTATAGTTTTAAAATGACTTGAAAGAATTGTCTTTAGATTTAATTCATTAGTTTTCATTGAACATTCAATGCTGTGAAATTGTTTACATAGACAATTACTTGGGCAATTTATGCTTAAATTACAATATAATTCATCATTTCCAAATTTACAATCAATTATACCATTGCAAATGTTGTTTAAAGGAACAAAAAGATGCTCATTTCTACATTTTAAGTAGCCTTTTGGTCTAAAATTTTCTATCAATTGAGTACTTTGTATTATTTGCGATGTTTGGCTAAAAAAAACTATGTAAAAGGATTGTACCGCAATTAAATTCGTCATCGTAATGAGTACAATGTACAATTCCATCGCATACTTGTTTAATAGATATACAGTATTTACTAAGTTTACACAAGTATTGACCAATTGGACAATCTTTTCTATTACATTCATCCAAAGCTAAGAAAGGGAAGTGTACTTTAGTTAAAAGCTTTCCCATCGAAGTATAAACAACTTGACATTTGAATTCTGTCAAATTTTTTAAAGCGGAACAATCAAAATTATTGAATTTATCCAAAGATTGGCATTCACTAGTCTTTTCATCTTTTTCATCGTAACAATTAGAATAAAAATCGCAAACTTTACTCTTCGATATACACTTATTATCGCATTGAAATTTGTTGTATTTTTCACAAACTTGTGAGTTAGAAAATGTTTTATTAATATAAAAATGAACTTTTTACAATTGAAAACCTTCTTTTGGTAAATGATTAGTATTAAAATCTTCTATTGAACATTTTTCATCGCTTGAATCGAAACAGTGTTTCTCATCATCGCAAACTAGATTTTTATCGATACATTGCATATTATCGCATCTGTGTTAAAAAAAAAAAATGGTGAGTTTATATAAAATCTATCAACGTATTCATATTATCTTTTTACCGAAATTGAAGATTACAATCTGTCATTTCTTATGGAAAATGGAAAAAAAAAAAACAAGTTTTATAGATTATACAATTTAAATATCATACTGCAAAAAATTTCGTCCAGTTTATTATGGCAATCGTAGACGTAATCGCAAACGTATCGGCTAGGAATTGTTGTATTTAAATCGCAAAAGAATACGGAATTATCTGAACAATTTCTCTCATCTTCACCGGAAAAGCAATCTTTCACACCATCGCAAACATTTATCGAATTGACACATAGACCATCTTCAATACAATGAAAAAAATTTCCATTACATCCAACAAAAGTTTTATTCTCCATTTCTATTGATAGCGAAAAGTTGAAGTCGTCTATTTTTTTGTTGTTGTTTACGATAAGAAGGATTAGGCGTCTACTTTTCCATAAAAAACATAATCTAAAATCATACTAACATGGAAATTTACAAAAAGTATCTTTCATTATTCTTTGATGGCAACTAAAATCGACTGTTATATATGATATTAAACTAGGATTGTTGATATTTTCTAAATAAAAGCATTTTAAATCGGATTTTGGATAAAAAAACATTTGGAAAGGTTTTAGCCTGAATAACGAGAAGCAGGAATCGAGAAATCTTGAAAAATATATCCTAATTAATTAATCATATTTTATTTCAAAATTACTGTTTACCTTGTTTGAAAATTGAGAGTAAAACCATGAAAGTTGTACGGTTTCATGTCGTCATATACAAGATGCTGTTGTTCTCTTGAATCGTTGACCAATTTTAATACTTTCAATATGTTTGTTAAAGAAATAGTTATATATATATATATATATAAATATATACTGTTTACGTACTTCCGGGCATAATCCTGCTAATTGTGAAAATGGATTGTTGAACACCTTTCGTTAACCAATGTAAAAGTGAATATTCTTTGAATGATAAATATGGTAGAAATGAATTTCTCTTTTCACATTCTTTTACTGAATCATCAATTGACATTGTTCTATTATATTCAACATGAATGTAACAGCCACTATCAAAATTAAAGGCATTTCTATTTTGGCATTTAATATCTATTAAAAAATTGATTATTAGTTTGAAGAATCTGTCTTATTTCTCATTTTACTTTCGTTATCATTACACTCTATATT